TGGGGGTGCTGCTTCTGATTGAGTGCGGCTTTGAACGAGTACGAAGCAGTTAAACACAGCAGTTGAACTAAAGCAGGAGAACTCAAGCAGCAGGAAGACACAACAACAGCAAGAAGCTCTACTGCACGTTGGACAGACTGCAAGCAAACACCCTGGGAAACCTCTCTTACATACCTGAGTCCCACTCCGTGTACCTTTATATAATACGTCCCTCTTCTCCTTATCATATTACTATCCTCTGTTCCCAAATCTCATTTCTTTACCCCTCTGCTCCACCCCAAAACTTGTACATCTCCCCCTCATTGCTATCATCTCCCTACTATTGCTCTCTTCACCTCCCCAAAATGCCTCTTCTACTCCGCCTTCTCATTTTCCTCTCCTCCGTTCCCAAAATCCATTCACTATATCCCTCTGCCCCTCCCAAACAATTGTATATTGTGTCCTCACTGCTTCCTTCGCCCCTCTACGGCACCCACCACCTCCTCCTGTTACTCCACTCTCCCACTGACCCGAACACCCTCCACTAGTAGTTTCTCCGCTCCTGCACATCCCGCTCCCATACCACCTTTCTCACCCTTGATCTTGTCTTCTCCAACCGCTGCGCTCCCCACAACCTCACTAACACCCCCTTCCCTCTCTCTGACCACAACCTGACTACCTTCTCTATCTCCTCGTCCTCCAACGCCTATCCCTCCAAATGTCACACTACTACCAGCCGTGACCTCCGCAACCTTAACCCTGCCTCCCTCCACTCTGCAGCTGATCAACTCGACGACCGCATCCTCCCCCTGTCCTGCCCTGACTTGGCTATGACCGCCTACAACAACGCGCTCTCAACAGCCCTTGACTCACTAGCGCCTTTAACCACATGCAACATCAGACCCCGACCGCTCCAGCCCTGGCAGACTGATCACACCAAAACCCTCAAACGACACAGTCGTGCCCTGGAGCGACTATGGCGCAAAACCAAATCCCAACAAGCCTTCACCCGCTACAAATCTGCCTTCCACACCTACACCTCCTCCCTCCATGCTGCCAAACAAGCCTACTTCCTGACCCTCATCAAGGCCCTCTCCTCCAATCCTCGCCGACTCTTCTCCGCCTTCAACTCTCTACTCTCGCCACCCCCACCTCCACCCAGCACCCCACTCACTGCCCTTGAGATTGCCAATCACTTCAAAAACAAGATTGACACAATTCGCAAGGACATTGCCGCAACTCACACGCCCTTTCAACCCATCCCCTCTCACACAGCTACACCCTCATCCCCTCTCCCCCTCGACATAACCCGCAGGGACTTCGTCGCTGCTCAAACTCTCTCCAACCCCCTTCCCCCTCACTCAGCTACCCCCTCATCACCCCTCTCCCACGGCCCCACCACTGCTCTGACCTCCTCTTCCACCCCACCCTACATTCCTCATACTGAAGCTCCCCCAACACTCCGCACCTTTGACCTTACTACCATCGAGGAAGTCTCCAAGATCCTGTCTGATGCCCGCCTCACCACCTGCCCCCTCGACCCTATCCCCTCACAACTCCTACGACCTCCCTCCCCCTCCATGCTACGCTCCCTCACCCACATCTTCAATCTCTCCCTCTCCTCCGGCACTTTCCCCTCCCCTCTGAAACATGCACACATCACCCCCATACTTAAAAAGCCCTCCCTGGACCCCAATGACCCGAACAACCTCAGACCCATCTCCCTGCTCCCATTTACATCTAAACTCCTCGAGCGCCTAGTCTACACCCGCCTATGCTCTCACCTCAACGACAACAACCTCCTCGATCCCCTACAGTCCGGCTTCCGTCCCCTACACTCCACCGAAACTTCCTTACTCAAACTCTCCAACGACCTGCTAACCGCCAAAGCTAATGGCCACTATTCAGTGCTCCTACTCCTTGACCTCTCTGTGGCCTTCGACACAGTCGACCACCCCCCCTCCTCAAAAAATGACACTCCCTCGGCCTCAGAGATTCTGCTCTCTCCTGGCTCTCATCCTACCTGTCACAACGCTCCTTCAGCGTTACCTATAATGCTACCACCTCCCCCTCACTCCCCCTCTCTGTTGGGGTCCCTCAAGGCTCTGTCCTCGAGCCCCTTCTCTTCTCCATCTACACCTCCTCCCTTGGCCAACTCATACACTCTCACGGCTTCAACTACCACCTCTATGCCGACGATACACAAATCTATCTCTCAACCCCCCACCTCACACCCCCTCAGTCTCCGCCCGAATCACACACCTGCTGAGCGACATATCAGACTGGATGTCGCTCCACTTCCTTAAACTGAACCTCTCCAAAACAGAGTTTCTTGTCTTCCCCCCAGCCCGGACACCACCCCCCATTGACTTCTCTATCACATCGAACAATGCTACTATCAAACCCGCCCCGCAGGCCAGAGTACTTGGTGTCATTCTGGACTCCAACCTATCCTTCCAGCCCCAAGTCCAATCTTTAACAAACTCGTGCAGACTCCACCTCCGCAACATCGCCAAAATCCGCACGTTCCTAACCCCAGAAACCACTAAACAGCTCATCGACTCCCTCATCATATCACGACTCGACTACTGCAACTCCCTCCTCACTGGCCTGCCTCGCCGCTGGCTATCCCCGCTTCAGTCGATCCTGAATACGGCTGCCAGACTCATTCACCTTTCCAACCGCTCCATCTCCGCCACCCCCCTCTGCCAATCCCTCCACTGGCTTCCGATTGCACAACGGATCAAATTCAAAATCCTAACGCTGACGTACAAAGCTGTCCACCATACTGCCCCGAACTACATCACTGACCTAATATCCAAGTACCGCCCAGCACGCACACTCCGCTCCTCACAAGACCTCCTTCTCTCTAGTTCCCTGGTCTCCTCCTCCCATGCCCGCCTCCAGGACTTCTCCAGGGTGTCACCCATCCTCTGGAACTCCCTGCCCCAACCCATCAGATTATCACCTACTCTCCTCTCCTTTAGGCGCACCCCTGAAAACCCATCTCTTCAGGGAAGCCTAACCCACCCCCTGCTAACTTGCCGACCTCCTCCACTCTTCCTACCACTCCATCCCCCACAGCTATCTCCTCCTGTGCCACCACCCCCTCCCTCGTAGATTGTAAGCTCAAAAGAGCAGGGCCCTCAATCCCTTCATGTTTTGCATTGTATTGGTATTGTTCTGTCCCCCTCTGTAATATACAGCGCTGAGCGAACTATTGGAGCTTTATAAATACTGTATAATAATAATAATTTCTGCTATAGGGAAGTCAGGAAGCGGTTTGTGTTACGGTGCTGTGTTATTTTAACTGATAATTGCGTGGTCATGCAACGCTGAACCCAAATTAAATTTACATCCTTTTTTTCCCGCACAAATTGAGCTTTCTTTCGGTGGTATTTGATCACCTGTGCGGTTTTTATTTTTTGCGCTCAAAATCAAACTTCGTCATAAATTTAGGCCAAAATGTATTCTGCGACATGTCTTTGCTAAAAAAAAAAATCCCAATACGTGTAAAGTAATTGGTTTATGTGAAAGTTAAAGCGTTTAGAAATGGAGGTATAGATACCGGAATTTGTTTTTTAATACTAATAATGGCAGCGATCAGCGACTTATGGCGGGACTGCGGAAGACATTCTGACACTGGGGGGGGGGGGGGGAGACTGACTTGGGGTCACAGACACCCGCAGTGACTCCAATACAGTGATTAGTGCAACAAAAAAAAGCACTGACACTGTACTAATGGCACTGGGGAGGAAGAGGTTAACATTTGGAGGCAATCAAAGGGTTAACTGTGTGATGTGAGTGTTTCACTAGGTGCGGGGGTATGCTTCACTGTAAGCACACTGATCGGGACAGTTGTGCTCAGCCATCCTGATCTGTGTGCCCGAACTGACAGGGAGGAGAGCTGCATTGTAAACAATGCAGCCGTCCTCCCTATCAGTGTTTGCTGGTAATCACCGGCTGGGACCGGTGATTGACACCCGCACCCATGATCAGTGGCGCGGGTAGGGTGGTCGCGCGCGCCCCCCCTACCCGGAAATGCAAAATCACGTATATATACGTGATTTTGCGCAGCGGTGCCGCCCTGCCGCAGTATAAGTACTGTGGCTGGTTGGCAACCAGTTAAATAAAAAGCCTGCCCTACCCAATGCAACTATTTGTTTATTTATACAAGAAGATTCTGTATGATGCTGAGATTATATTGGTAACTGTACCTAGACAATAGCTATTTTCTATTGAATTTAACCCTGACAGGGTGCAATAAATGTATTGTGTTTGTACAGTCTGGTGTTAGCAGAGTGTTCATTTCCTACCATATTGCTTTCTCCTGAGTATTTCTGGGAACACTCTGTTTGATTTTGACTCCATTTGTAAAAAAAAATTTTTACATTGCAGTTCTTGCAATTCTTTTTCCTGATTAAGGAGAAAGAATCGTGATGAATATATTTTGAACATTAAAAAAAAAAGAGAAAAGCATTGCAGGCAGAGAAAGATAAGTTTACAAAAGGACAATGTAGGTTCTTCAGCAGTAAGCTAATATTCTGAATACAGTATGATGGTTATAGTATGTTCTATTTTAACCACTAGCCTACAGGGTACTTATACCCCCTTCCTGCCTAGGCCAATTTCCAGCTTTCAGCGCTGTTGCATATTGAATGACAATTGCACGGTCATGCAACACTGTACCCATATGACATTTTTATCATTTTTTGTAACAGATAGAGCTTTATTTTGGTGGTATTTAATCACCTCTGGGTTTTTTATTTTTTCTTAAACAAACCAAAAACCACTGAAAATTTTGAAAAAAAAAAAAACGTTTTTTCTTAGTTTTTGTTATAAAATATTGTAAATAAGTGATATTTCTCCTTCACTGATGTACGCTAGTGAGGCTGCAGTCATGGGCACTGATAGGTTGCACTGATGGACACTGATAGGTGGCACTGATGGGCACTGATGAGGAGGCACTGGTGGGTGGCACTGATGGGCATTGACGGGCATCACTGATGGGCACTGAAAGGCATCACTCATATATGGCACTGATAGCTGGCACTAACTGGCACTGTTAGGTGGCACTGACTGGCACTGTTAGGCAGGACTGATAGGCGGCACTGATAGGTGGATTGGCACTGACTGGCATTGATAGGTGACACTGAAAGGCAGCTCAGATGGGCACTGATATGTGGCATTGATGTAGCACTGATGGGCACTGGCAGCTGGCACTGATGGACATTGACAGGTGGCACTGCTGGGGCTACACAGATCATCAGGGCACACTGATCATCAGGGTAGACTGGATAACTTCAACAGTACCCTCTGTGATCTAGGAACCAATATGCGCAAGATAGATGTGGGTCTGTTGGATGCTGGGACTCCCTTACACAGTCACATAGACCTGGACACTGCTTACTTTTAGTGCTCTAACCAGTTTGAAAGAAGGAGCAAAAAAAAAGGAGATGGCAGTGGTGGGAAAACACATGAAACAAATTAATTACTTTGTGACAACTTTTATATAGGCATGTGGACCGCGCATAAATTCAGATGGGAAGCACAGTTACAGATGGGGTGCTGCTTTTGCGTGAGTGCTGCTTTGATGGAGTGCTAAAACGCAGTTAACCCCTTGACGCTTATGTCACACAAATATGCGGCCTCAAAGAACTGGACTTTTTTTCTGTGGGGGATAAAAAGATAAAAATTAAAAAAGAAAAAATAAAGAAAAATACCTAGATCAAGGTTTGATCTAGTTCAGTGCCAGGATTAGTGTTTAGGTCAAAGTCAGGGTCAAAGTCAAAGGTCAGGGTCAAAGGTCAGGATAAAAAAAAAAAATTGGTATCAGTGTCAGTGTGTTTTAGGTTAATAAAAAAAAGACAAAAACAAAATGCGCACTATTGTTTCTGAGCGGTACTACCGGTACAAACAACAAATATACACATATATAGTATCGCTGCGATCCTCAAGAGCTGTAGAATTTATTTTGGGTTGTTCTTTGGTGGTAGGTTATGGTAGTAACAAGAAACACACAGCTAAATAAAAAAAAATAATTTTCTTTTTACTATTTTGGGCCAGTTTTCCTCTGATAATAAAAAGAAAATCAGGAGACATCCATTACCATTTACCACCAAATGAAAGCCCAATTTGTCCTGAAAAAATCAAGGTATAATTCACCTGAATATACAAAGTAGTTGTGATGATATGGACGGTTTTACTAACACATGTCAACGTTGCAAAATTGTGCTTAGGCATTTAGATTTGTTTTATCCTTAGGCGTGAAGGGGTTAAACACAGTAGTCTAATCATGGCTTCCCTGCTTTTCACAGGTAAATGCTGCTATCTGCTTCTCCACTCTAAACTACAACAACGCATAGACTTCTGCTATTTCTGGGTAAATGCTGCTATCTGTGTCTCTACTCTAAACTACAACGCATGGACTCCTGTTAATTTCAGAACAAATAGTGTATATATATTTTTGTCTGTTGATTAGTTCTCACCTCTAGTTACACTCCTTTTTTATGACTGTAGCCTGTGTCTGGTCTCTGTTTGAGAAACATCCCCCCCCCCCCCCATTCATGTGATCCTTATCAGTTCTAATTGGGGCGGAGAAGAGTGCTCATTTGACCATCTCTCTATAAATTTAGATCAGCTCATGGGGGGAAAATCACAGATGGAGGGCACAGTTACAGATGGGTGCTGCTTTTGAGTTAGTGCTGCTTTGATGGAGTGCTAAGACACAGTTACACACAGCAGTTGAACTAAAGCAGGAGAACTCAAGCAGCAGGAAGATACAACAACAGCAAGAAACTCTACTGCATGCTGGACAGACTGCAAGCAATCACCCTGGGAAACATCTCTTACAAGTCTGAGTCCCACTCCGTGTACCTTTGTAATATGTCCCCTCTACTCCTACTTTTCATATTACTTTCCTGTGTTCCCAAAATCTCACTTCTTTACCCCTCTGCTACACCCCAAAACTTGTACATCTCACCCTCACTGCTTCCATCTCCCTATTACTGCTCTCATCACCTCCTGCTGATACTTCACTCTCCTGCTGACCCAAACACCAGGACTGGAAGGCATGTGCACTCGTGTACATCCCGCTCCCATGTTACTTTCCTCACTCTTTCTTTCTCCTAACCTCTGGGGATATCTCCCCAAACCCTGGTCCTCCACTATCTCACCCCCACACCAGGCATCCTCTTTCTTCCGGGAATAGCCGCAATCCCCTCAATTTAATATCGGTCCCCGTGCTCCCAAAAACCAAACTCCCTTTTTCATGTGCGCTCTGTCTGTAATAAGCTCACCTCTGTCCATGACCTTTTTGTCTCCCGCTTCCTTAACCTACTAGCAATTACAGAAACCTGGCTTTAAGCAGCAGATTCTGCTTCTCCCGCAGCACTTTCCTATGGAGGCCTCCTCTGGACCCACTCACCCAGACCCAGTGGTCAGAAAGGTGGTGAAGTTGGTTTGCTTCTATCCCCACTCAGCACCTTTCAAGTCCTCCATAACCCTCCCTCTCTATCCTTCTCTTCTTTTGAGACTCACTGCATCCGGCTGTTTTCTCCCATTTCTCTGAGGATTGCAGTAATCTATTGGCCTCCTAGACCGATGTCTCGCTTTCTTGATGAACAATATAAATATCCTCCTGCGCTCCACAGAATAATTAAATATAACTAGCTGCTATCATCTATACCCTATACCTATAGGACAAAGGAAATCATAAATTCTGGATGAAGCACTCAGTTATGAGGGTACTGCACAGAAAAATATATAATATAAATACATAAATAAAAATCAAAGCGACTAGTGCTTTAAATACAAATGTGTAAATCAAATGGGAACAACCAGTCTGCCACCAAATGGCTGAAACTGGTTGTACATGTGCACACACAAACATGTATATAAAGTGACAAAGTGCTCTCAGGATAAATATCAAATCAATAAAATTGTGAAAAATCACAGTGAACAATCTTAAAAAGTGACAAGTGTTAAGATGCAATCAATATACAAACTATATAATAACGTGCAAAACCATGCTATCACTCTCCTGTGATAAACGTAAATAAATATTTAAAAGTGCTGCTACTTCTTCCACTTCAAATATGTGCTTAAGCCAAAGTGTCTCTCTAGTGCATCACTCCTCCAATAGCCCGAGTGCCTCCTCACCTCCTTCATTCGACCCCTAGGGGCCACAGATTATATAATATTGTGATGTTCTACACCGATATCAGGATAAATTTTGTCCCCACGACTCCACAACAACTCCTCTAACACACTGATATCCACTCAAAATCTTATTACCGGCTTAGGAAGACTCAGCCATTTAACCATGGAAGAATAAACAGAAAGGAAAACCTCCATAGTGCAATATGTCTATTTATTAAATCAAAAAAGGCCAAATAAGCCACTCACATGCTCCTAGTTGAATACACACGATTGCCCATATCCTATGGGTGTACTGAGGAAATCAAGATGGCCGAAAACCGGAAGTACATTACCGGAAATACGTCACCGAGCTCCACCGGAAATGACGTCAATGCGCTCCACGCGTTACACCACTGTCACATGGCTTCTTCAGGATCCGGGTGCAGTTATCCTGTCCACTTAGCAGAAAAACACCCCCAAAGCAGAATGTTTTCACATTTTACAGTTGGGATGGTGTTCTTGGGGACGTAAACAGCATTCCTCCTCCTCCAAACACGGCGAGTTGAGTTGATGCCAAAGAGCTTGATTTTGGTCTCATCTGACCACAACACTTTCAACCAGTCCTCCTCTGCATCATTCAGATGTTCAGTGGCAAACTTCAGACGGGCCTGGACATGTGCTTTCTTGAGCAGAGGGACCTTGCGGGCACTGCAGAATTTCAATCCTTGTCGGCGTAGTATGTTACCAATTTTTTTCTTGGGGACTGTGGTCCCAGCTGCCTGGAGATCATTGACAAGATCCTCACGTGTAGTTCTGGGATGATTCCGCACTGTTCTTATGGTCATTGACACTCCACGAGGTGAGATCTTGCATGGTGCACCAGACCTAGGGAGACTGATAGTTGTTTTGTGTTTCTTCCATTTGTGAATGATTGTACCAACTGTTGTAACCTTCTCACCAAGCTGCTTGGCGATAGTTTTGTAGCCGAGTCCAGCCTTGTGTAGGTCTTCAATCTTGTCCCTGACATCCTTGGACAGCTCTTTGGTCTTTACCATGGTGGAGAGTTTGGAATCTGATTGTTTGATTGCAAGTGTCTTTTATACAGGTAATAAAATGAGATTAGCAGCACTCCCTTTAAGAGACTGTTTATAATCTCAGCTTGTTACCTGTATGAAAGACACCTGGTAGCCAGAAATCCTGCTGAATGATAGGGGATCAAATACTTATTTCCCTCAAGAACATGCAAATCAGTATATAATTTGTTAGACATGCATTTCCTTTGAATTTTGTGTTGCTATTCTGTCTCTCAGTGTTACAATACACCTACCATTAGATTTTTAGACTGATAATTTCTTTGTGAGTGTTCAAACATTCAAAATCAGCAGGGGTTCAAATACTTATTTCCTTCACTGTAAATGACAGTGTAGTTTCAAAAGATCCTTTTTAAACTTCCCCCTCTCCTCCCAGGCAGTAAACCAATTTTCAGCATGTAAACAAAAGCACAACATCCCATAGTGTAAAACCATAAAAAAAAACAATGTTTTGCAAATATACACTGCTGTGTCACACATATTACAGAGCTTGACTGAACTACAGGGGTGCTAAGGGGAGGACTGTGAGGAGGCAGTACAGGAACTGCTTATGGGCAGCAAGGTACCATACAATATTAAGTCATTTGAAATCAAAAGGAAACCAAAGGAATTAGCAGATGAAAAGCTGCTGAACATGCAGGGAACCAAGGAAAATGTGGAAAGCGATGGCCAGCAGACAGAAAGCAATCACAACATTAAAGGGGATTTTTTAGTTAAAGCAGATCTTTGCCTGCTCCCCTCAACTTACCAGGTTGTCCGTTATTCACATTTCCAATACTCCCCCACCCACAGAATACAGCATTGTCCCGCTGAGATCCTCTTGTATGCTGCCACCTCTCAGTCCTACGCTGTCATGCTGATTGTGACATCATCAAGATACGCCCATCTCTTACTGATTAGCCAGCGCCTCTCCTGATTATGTGGCGCTAGGCACCTCCCCTCCTCCTTTCTTAACCAACTCCTGTCCGGCCATTGTATATAGATGGCAGTGCAGGGTCGGGTGGCCGTTTATAAACGGCCTCCCCGCACCCTGCTTGTGTGCGCTCCCTGGGAACGCGCAGCACACCAATCTGGTGCCCGCTGTGTCCTCCGGACACAGTGGAACACCGATCGTCGGACAGGACCTCTCTGTGCGAGGTCCCGATCACGTGATCACTGATTGGCCAATCAGTGATCAC